TCACTGGGGCGGGGGGGGGGGGTCACAATATGAAAGTGTCGTGTGATACATGTTTTATGGTCCATTTTACATGACAAATGCGATTGTGTGGGTCAGGCAGACTTTTGGGCCAGCTTTGGTCACTTTTTGGTCAAGGTCAGGTCAAGGTCAGGTCAAATTAGGTCAAATTTCAAAGTTGATATTTTTGCACAAAATGGGTATTGAATTGATGCAGCTCGTCACGGGGAGTTCAATGGTGGTCTTTGTTTTGCCCTACGTGGTCTAGAATCGCTAAAATTGAGTTAAAAAATTGACGTCATCATTTTTGAACAGTTTTTTTTCGCTATATCTTGGCCAAAAAACGAGATATCGATCTGAAATTTGGTATGTATATAGAAGAGCGCAGGGACTATCACATATATTTCGATTTTTTTTTCGAAATTCGGAAAATTTTGGGATTTTTTTTAGTTTTGGAAAAAAAAAAATCATTTTTTTGAATTTTTTGGGTCAAAAACCCAAAATTTTAAAAATCCGAGGTAACATTTTTGTAGCGCCGCTTTTTGTCGACTAGACCATATAAAGAAGTTTGAAATTGCTTTGTAACTGTAGATTTGGTGAGCGTTTCAAGATTGCATGTTTTTGGCTCATTTTTGCTCGAACACGACCTCAGTTTGACCTCAATAACTCCTTACCTAAGGTGACCTAAGACTTGAAATTTGGTGTGAAGGTGTCAAATTGATGCCCTGGAAGGAACTGACAATTTAGCGGCGCTGCGCGCCGCCGTTTTCTTGCTATTCAGGAAAAACCACAGGGAGGGGCCAAATTGCCCCTCCCCCAACGGGGCGAGGGTTAAAAAAGTGACTTTTGAAATAATCCCCTAAAATGCAAAACAAAATAAAAAACTGATCTTTTTGGTTTGCATTTTAGTTTTGCAAAACAAAAAGATCATTTTTTTTTGCAATCCCGCGCCCCGAATGGGCGCAAGAATTGCGCGTGAAACACATATTTTGCTATTTGAGGTCACTGATACCAGGTCAGGTAACAGAGGTCAGGTCACTGAGGACCACAATATGAAAGTGATGTGTAATCCTTGTTTAACCCGCGCCCTGGTGGGGTCTGTTTATAACGCGACCTGGTGGGGGGGGGGGGCTATTTTTGCCCCCCCCCCTCGTATCTCCGAAACTACTGGACGGATCCGCAAAATTCAAACGGCGTTCGAAAGGCCTGTGAAATTTGTTGAGGGAAACCAAATTTTATTGACCTCGGGGTCACCGATGACGTCACAGGTCAAGTCAAAGATGACATGTTTCACCGTTCACGGGTCTTCTAGGGAATGCGCTCTAACACCAAGGAAAACGCATTTTGTCGAGAATCAGCGATAGGGCGTCAGTTGCCTAGTAGATATGTTGCTATAAGAGGTCACTGACAATACCAGGTCAGGTCACAGGTCAGGTCACCAAGGGTCACAGGTCAGGTCACATGAACCAACTTTACTAAGGTTGTGTGATGCATGTTTTATGGCCAATTTTTCATTTCCAACTCAATGGTGTTGGTTATAAGACTATCAGGTACGGCTTAGGTCACTTTCTGGTGAAGGTCAGGTCAAGGTCAGGACAAGGTCAGGCCAAAAAAGGTCAAATTTTAAAGTTGATAGTTTTGCATAAAATGGGTATCGATTCGATGCAGCTCGTCACGGGGAGTCTAATGGTGGCCTTTGTTTTGCGCTACCGGGTCTAGAATTGCTAAAAATTAAGTTTGAAAATTTGACGCCATCAATTTTGAACAGTTTTTTCGCTATAACTTAACCAAAAAAAGAGGTATCAATCTCAAATTTGGTATGTGGATGGAAAGCGGTAAGGACTATCACATATATTCCAGTTTTTGCGAAATTCAAAAAAACTTTTTGGATTTCTCGACTATTATATCCAAAAAATATATTTTTTGATTTTTGGGATCAAAATCCAAAAAATTCAAAAATCCGAGATAGCAGTTTTGTAGCCATGTCAATTTTACAGCTTTTATGTCTTTATCGTTTTTCTGTATTTGCAAAGCTATAGGCCTGACAGCTCTTCCCGCGAAACCCTTTTTTGGGTCGAAAACGGCAGAACATGACGTCACTCTGACGTCATTTCCGGCCAACCTATCATAGCCTTTGGAAAAATTTTTGGTCCTAATGTGTAAAATTGATGTCCGGGAGGGTACTGAAAGTTTGGTGACGATCGGCGCAGCGGTTCTGGAGATATATCGAAAAGTCTGGAGGGGGGGGCAAAAAATAGCCCCCCCCCCCACCAGGTCGCGGGTTAAAGTACCCGGCGGCCGCTGGGCCTCCGCGCCATCCGCCGTCCGCTGGGGGGGCATATAGTTGCCCCCCTTTACTTCTGCGACGATATCGTCGCAACGCGAAGAGATAGAGAAGCGAAACTTTGCACATATTTTCCTGAATACATAGCCGAGGTTGTGTCCAAATTTAATGTCGATTTCATCTGAAATGACGTCACAGTGACGTCATAAGTGAAATTATAGATTTGCGACTCTCCAGTTTCCTCACGATATATCAGATATATCCCTCGCCGGCCGAGGGGGGGGGGGGGGCGGGTGCCGCCCCCCCCATAGGGTTTTTTCGCGATAGCTCCGAACACGCTGGCGATAGAGAGCTGAAACTTGGCATACCTGACCTTTGATCCAAGCCGCATCTTTTGACACCAACCGCATTTTTGGGTCAGGTCAGGTCACTGACCTATGACGTCATAAGTGAACCTCTGCACGGTCTTCAGATGTCGCAACTTCGCAACGCCCTCACTGCCAGAGGAGATGTCACAGGGAAATGAAACTTGCAGGATCTAGTATCCATTATGAGTCTCACAACTTGTATATCTCGGATTTTTCCTAAAGGTCATATGAGGTCAGGTCATTTTCGTGACCTCACCATTATAAGTCAATGGGGAAAAATTCAAACTGCTATTCTGGCGCCGGGAACGATCTCCAACTATCTCAAGCACACAGAATCGTGATTTGATGCACTCCTTGCAAGGTTAGATGCGTCACTTTTGCAATGTTGACCTTCCGTGACGTCATTTATGACGTCATCAAGGTCATATTAGTTTTTCGTCAATAACTCCCGATCAAATTAAGCTAGCGAGTCGGGAAAGCCAGCAATGGACTCAGGAAGACCTGCCGAATCGAATGATATGCGACATGACCTATTTCGACCAACTTAGTGACCTGGGGGTGCTGACCTGACCTTGACCTGAGGTCAACACCCCAAGTTGACCTGACCCGGACAAAAAGTATATCATTCGACGCGCCTGATCAAGGCGAACACGATGCTGCCAAAATCGCGGCTCTGCGGCCGTTTTTTGCGAAGTTATTCACCAAAAACTGAACCGTACCCTGGGGCACTTGACCTGACCTCAGAGGTCACCGGTTGACCTAGGACCTTAAAATCGGGTACCAATCTCTGCGTCTCGTAACGGCGCACACGCTCGTTTTTTCCGCGACGCGCTAGCTCCACCAGGGGCGAAACGGCGAGGGGGGGTCGTACCCGCCCACCCCCCCCCCTCGGCCGGCGCGTATGTAGAAAACCAATAGGTCCGGCGAGGGTTAAGGGACCGTATATAAAGGGCCGATTATTGGTCAGGACCTAGATGGAAGTGTATTTAGGTGTTTCAGGATGACAGCAGGTGCTGTCTAGTTCATTTACAGTTGAGTTTCATGCTCAGCGACATCAGAAACGGTCCGTATAGGAAAACGACAATATTTTATGACGTCACTGTGACTTCTTAAGTGCTACAACCACCAAATTCTGCTCAAACATTGCCTTGGTATTCATTTGAAGCTACCTTGAGTTTCACGTTCGTAGCTTATCAGGTTTCGGAGATATTCCGCAAAACGTAAAGGGGGGCAACTCTATGTCCCCCCAGCGGCTCGTGGGTTAAACATGCATAAGGGCTACAGTCTGACCGTCGAGGCCCTCTAGGTGGCCTCTGATGGCCCAAAGCCAGCCTCTGAGGGCCCAGCGCCAACCTTAGACTTCAGAGGACAGAGGGCCCCACGTTAACCTAAGAGGGCCTACATTGTCCTTAGATAGCCCCAAGCTGAGCTGTTCCCAGTGGGCCCCAATCTGGCCTCAGAAGACCCCATGCCGCTGGTCTTAGAGGAACCCACGCTGCCCTTATATTGCCCCACGCTGGTCTAAGGGGCTACGCACTGGCTTCTTTGGGCCCCACGTCCACATTTGGCTATTTAAGGTCCCAAAGCGGACTCTAAATGACAATGCTAGCCTCCGACGGCTCGACCTCGGCTTCTGAGGGCCCCTACGCTGGCCTCCAAACCTTTGATAGAAGTTTGTTAAGACATGTTTACGTATGCTTAACTGATTGGGCAGAATTTTGGTATACCGTTACCTACGGTATATGGTGTGAATGTTAGGTATGGTGTAAAGGTCCGCTTATACGGTGCATATTAGGTGGTATATGACATTCTGATTTCTGGAGTCTGGTTTGCCCCCCATCCCCCAGTCGAAATTCCTTAGCCGAGGTCCTGCTGTGTGACTGTGTCAGTCCTGCTGTGTGACTGGCTGTATCCTATACATCCGATCCATCCTATAAGTATACATCTGGTGTTTCTAAGTACATCAGGAGCCAATCGCCAGGGGTCGTATAACCAGACCCTCCCTCTGCACCGTCCGCGTTATGAAAAAGGCCTGGCCATGGGGTAAACATTCGTAGTGATAAACTTGTCTTTATTATCTCTTTTTTTTTGCGAAAAAGTAGTAACGATAGTAAATTTTGATATTGGTTACCTTAGACCTGTTTGCCTGCCTGCCAAGCTTGCCTGCCTGGTATGCAACAATGCGGGTTGCATGACAAAACATGTCGTAATACGTAATGACACGTCGTTTTGTGACATGATAAGACACGACGCTGCACGACATGTCGTAATGCGTACGACGTAACGCTACGTACTAAGTCACCTTTAAATGATTAGTAGAAACGTAAAAAAACGGTAATTCTGCGTTCCAGATGGAGATGACAGATGTGCGTGAAGACCTGGCCGCCCTTCGCCGGGAGGTGGCCTCCCTTCGCGAGGAGGTGGCCAAAGTCCAGGGGGAGAACGCCGCACCACACGGTGCGGTGGTCCTCCTGGAGCAAGCACTGGTTGAAGAGCGGACCACTCGCCAGACCGTGGTGGAGGATCGCTACGGTTTGGCGTGTGGCGTGGTTCTACTCGGTTTGGCGTGTTTCTACTGGGTCCGCCGGCGAGCGGCGCCATCCGGCCGTTCCCAGAGGTGAGACTGGGAGGCAGCAGGGGTGGCTGTTGGGGCTGAGAGATTTCGGAGAGCTGTCATGGTGAGATGTAAACTCTCTTTGTAGGTAGAAGGCGTAAGAAATAAAACACCAGTAAACGTGATATCCCGCGAGTTGCTGGGGGGGCTTTACCCGGGCGGGGCTGGGGGAAGTAAATTTTACCCCCCCCTCGCGAATTTTGCAATATCTCAAAAACGGCGGCGCGCAGCGCCGCCAAACTTTCAGTACCTTTTCTTACACCAATTTGACACGTTCTCTGAAAATTTGAACGAAATCCGTCGGAAAATTTTTGAGAAATTGACGTTTTAGTGACGTCATGTTCGCCATTTTCGCCTCCAAAACGGCAAAAGTTCAAACGCCGCTAACATCTTCATTTCTAAAGGAATCAAGACGTAACAAAAAAGTGATACGTAATTCTACTTTGTCTATCAAATGGCTATCTCGGTTTTTTGAAAATTTTGGATTTTGGCCCAAATTTTTTTCAAAAAACTGACTTTTTTTGGAAAATGATTATACAATCCAAAATTTTGAGTGTATCAGAAAAACCGGAAAATATGTCAGAGAAGTGGTCTATGTGCACCTACATACCAATTTTTAGAAGAATCAATTCAAAAATGTGGGAGTTATTCAAGATTTTATGACGTCACGACACACAATAATTTTGAAAAATGATTTTGTTTGGAAGTTCTAGACCTCGTACGGAAACAAAAATAGCACCATTCGATTCGCCGTGAAAAACTGCATCAGATAGACACCTTTTTAGGCCTTAACAACCAACTTCAAAATTTGACCTCACTTGACCTGACCTTGACCTGACCTCGACCTGAAATTCATCCAGAGGTGGTCCATATCACTTATTGAGTGTGCCTATTGAATTCTATGAGTAAAATGACCCATAAAACATGTGTCGCACATGCCCTTTTCTATATTTTGTTTTTTGGTGACCTGACCTGACCTGACCTGACCTTGATCTTGACCTCTGAATGATATTGTATGCAACGAATATTGTCTTGGTAGCCTAAGAACACGTTTTGGGCAATCAGTCTCAGTCGATGACTCCATTCTTCGGCAACTACGGTGCAAGGCCGATACTGTAGAAACTTGCAATTTGTACCCTTGACCTGACCTTGACCTTGACCTCAAACTTTAAATAAAGTACATGTTTTTAGTTGTTCGTGATGAGATCTTTCGATTGGCGTTTGATTTTTCCAAATCGGACCATTAGTTCGGGAGATAACAGGGGGGGGGGTAAAATTTACCCCCCCCCCCCAGCCCCGCGCGTTCGGCTGGAGACCCCAGCCCCGCGCGGGTTAAACACCCCCACTTTTTTCGCCGGGCCATAGCATAAAAACGGCGCGCCGCTGTCGCGCCAAATTTCGGGTACCTGTAGGGAATTAATTGAAGTTTATTGTAACAAAGTTTAAAAAAAATCGGTCGGAAAATTCTTGAGATATCGATGTTTTAGTGACGTCATGATTTCTGAGTTTTCGACCAAAAACGGCATATGTTCAAAAAATCATATAAAATCACAACTTAGACATACACACATGCCGTAAACGCCATTAGACTGCCACTACATTAAACAATCAAAAGGCTATCTTCGATTATTGATTATCGTCCCCCATTTTCCAGAATCTTGAACTGAACCTTGGCAATTTTTCGTGACTTCTTCACGACCATGATACATGCATTTCTTTAATTGAACTTTTTGAGCCAAACACGTAGACATATGACAAAATGAATGTCACCATCGTGTTCTACGCCCCAAATTACCCTTAAACATGTGTCACAGGCTGCGAATATCAGTTTTGATTTTCGGGGATATGCGCCTACCCGGTTGACCTGACCTTGACCCTGACCTATGCTTGACTGACCCCTACATGGAGCTGACACTCTCGTAGACCTTATATGATGGATTGTGCACCGTTTTGACAGAGTTTATGACGAGAGGCGCCCATTGCGAAGTCCTGAAGTCAATGCTACTGAAAGCCCGATTTCAGGTGTTTGACCTGACCTTGACCCGACCTGTGACCTCAAAATTCAACTTTAACCCTCGCATGTGTAGGGGGGGGATCGGATGGACCCTCCCATGGTTTTTCGCGAATAACTCGCGTAAAAAGCGGCCGATCGCGACGAAACTTTCAGTACCCTCGCATTGGTCAATTTTACACCTACCCTAAAAATTTCATGACCCTGACCCAAATGACCTTTGACCTGTGACCTCTATTCCGAGACCATGTTTGGTCGGAAGCGCGATTCCGCGTATGTCGGCTCGCATTAGCCGCGCGTTTGCAAGCTTTTCGTGGTTTCAAACGTTCAAACATGTGATTTGATGTTGCTTCCATGAATTAGGGTGGGTGTCAAGGTCGCCTGAAGGTCAGGTCAGGTCATTGACCTTTGGTGACCTCGGTTCACTTTTTCGAGTTTTACATGTTTCTCGGCTAGTTTTTGGAGCTGAATTCGAATTTAGCAACCATTTCAACATTTACGAAGTAGTTTTTTGGTGACTTTGTAACATGTTACGAAGGTGTCAGAGGCGGTGGACACGTACTACGAATACCCGTCACGACGCCTACTGGTTGACCTGACCTGACCTGACCCGACCTGGTCTAAATGCTTGAAGACATCATCTGTGATCAAAACTAACACGATATTCGTGATCAGCGTCCTGAAACCCCCTTAGCAGCCACACTTTACGACTTTCTAACAGGTCCCGATTTTCCCGACCTTGGGTCATTGACCTGACCTGGAAGGTCAACCAATGACCTAGGACCTTAAAATTGGGTACCATCGGCCTCCTCTCGTGACGGGCAAGACGCCCGTTTTTTCCGCGAAGCTCAAGCTCGATCAGGGGCAAAACGGCAAGGGGGGTCCAACCGACCCCCCCCTACACATTAGAAGCTGGCAAACGCAGCACACAATAGCGAGGGTTAAAGTACTCATCTGAAGCGTCTCGTCGCGTTCTTTCGTTTGCCGCCTCCTGCGTTTCGCTGCGCTTATTGGTTCTCGAGTTATCGGCTGGGGGCGTTTTACGCCCCCCCCCCCCAGCAAACGGTGGATGGCGAAATACCCCAGCAACTGCCGGATATGAAGAAATAAAACAGTAACTTGTAATTGCAGTTTCCGCCCAATTAAAGAAACATGCCTTTAATTCTTACTATCTTTTGCAAGTCAGCCGTCTAGTCTTGTTCGTCTTGTTCCAGCTTTCGGCAGCCGTCCTGCATAAAGTTGGCCAGCTCGGGGCATCATATCCCGCACTTATTTACATGTCTTCATCAGCAATCGTGTCACAAAATCTAATCGGTCGTTTCAAATCGTTCACAGTCGTATCAAATCAAATCTGAACGATTTAATACAGCCGAATAGATTTGACGACATACCATTACTGACGACAATTTTATGGAAATGAAGGTAGGTATATCGAAATATCAGATGAGCCGACAATAAATGCGGAATTGTTATGCCTGTTTAGTAGATTTATAGACTTTTTTTCTTTTCAGTAGAGCTAGAAAAATGGCCAATGACGTCACGGTACAGACGGAGCCCCAGCCATCGGCAGTCAGTGACGTCATAGTACAGACGGAGCCGCAGCCATCGGCAACTTGTGACGTCACAGTACAGACGGAGCCCCAGCCATCGGTCGCCAGTCTATTCAACACGCTTCAGGAGTCGCTCGGCCTTGTAACCATGACGACGTTCGACGCTCCGTCAGCCCTTGGCGAGGATCAGCTGACGGCGCTCCTGCAGAGTCTTCCTCGCTTGGAGGAGCTGACCGTCAGGGTCCCGTCCTTCGGAACGGGGCGGTGGCTGCGGCTGCTGCCGACGTCACTGAGGACGCTATACGTTGCCGGTGAGAAGTAGGTAGTTGAGGAAAATCGTACTATTACTCCTGAATGGTGGTAGGTACTTACATGGTACATAGAGTAACAGTTTCAGTGATAAACGTTCAGCGGACATAATAGGTACCGTAAAGTGGGGCTATTTGAGACAGTAAAGTAGTGGTTTAGTAAAATCGCTGTAAAATGAAAACCGTTCGATATTTTTTCGTCATTTTTGCTTAGGCTGATGTGGAATTGAACAGTGAATGCCCTGAATAACCTTTTTGAAAATTTCGAAAAGTTTTGAAAGAAATTTGGTCTAAAATACGAAATACAGAAAAACGCACAATATAAGTTGCTCGAAAAGGACCCCTACCTGCCGCTTAACATAGTTGAAATTTTAACAGCTTCGGCACTGCATCTATCGTTACTACCGTTTTACTTATAGGCTAAGCATATTTTTTCATGAAAATATTATACATTGTTAACGTTACTGCCGATTGCGTAACCCATTGTCTCAGAATCCCGATGATGCCATTGCCCACCTGGTCAAACCTCAACCGATATGCCAAATAGCTACTGATAATGGTGATGCGATTGCACCCGAGAAGACTTACCACCATCTACTTAGAGTGCATCGAACGTTCGACATGAGTAACACCGATGAGTTGGTCGTGGTCATAAACGTGCAGTGGGTTCATGGTATTTAGCAGGAAGCAATATTTACATGCTCGTAGTGTAACATAATGACCCTTTAGCTGGTGACCAAACTAGTTATTCTGATGAATATGTGCTTAAAATGTGCTTCATCAGTCACTTACTTAGTCGACAATAACACATGTCTACCTTGGTTGACCAAAAAACACCATTGAAGATTACTTAACACATGAACGTACTGTTAGGTGAGCCTATGCAAGTAGGCTTGATGTGGTAGGGTTACCGGCCAATTGATACAGCATGCAGCGATCGAGGAAAATCGTCATAAAATCAAAACCGCTTAACATTGTTCTGTTATTTCTTCGCATGAAGATGTGCAATGGGACAAGGAATCATGCAGACTATTCACTTAAATGTTTTGGGAAACCTTTTAGCTCGTTTGATTCATTACGGTGTGCTTCATTAGGTAGCGAGCCTGTCTCAAATAGCCCCACCGACTTTCAGTATGTCTGTTTCACGCCACCAGGGCTATATACAAAAACTTTCTTTCAAAATTTTACTGTTGTTGTCTTTAGAATAGTCCTTGATGATCATTCTGCAAATTGGAAAGTTTAGGGTCACATCAGGGGCGGATCCAGAAAATCTCCAAGGGAGGGGCCATTAGAAACCAGGAGGCCCCCCCCCCATAATCCCACCTGTTGGAGGCCCCATCTTCCCACTTGTTGGGCCCCCCCCCCAAAAAAAAACTGCGTCTATTGAGCTTATCTAGCTGTTCAGGCAACATCTCAACATCTGTGCAGGCTTGGAGGCCCTCTGTGCAGGTTAGGAGGCCCTGTAAAAGTGGTCATCTCTGTGAGTATAAGAGACCTCCAAGTTATGAAAAGCTTTACCAATCTTCTAACAAAGAAGTCTTCTCAGCTAGTCTTCTAAGAAATAACTAAGTGGGTAGGTTAAAAAAAAACTCATCGGATTTCGGCCACTTTATTTTCAGGAGGCCCCCTTTTCAGCTTTTTAACTTTTTAACTTTTTATTTTATTTTTGAAAAAAAAATCGGCCAAGGGGGGGGGGCCATGGCCCCCATGGCCCCCCCCTTGTATCCGCGCCTGGGTCACATCATATTATGACAGCCTTAGCATATAGTGATACAATTTTATAACCTACCGAAATGAAGCTTCCTACGAAAAATGACAATATTGAATATAAAGGAAATGTAACTGTCTTTGCAAAACCAATTTTTGCCAGAATGATCAAAATTTAATTTCCAATCACATGGCATTTAAAAAGTTATCTCTAGCGTGACCGATTTTCTTCAATTTCTTCGTAACTAAAACTGTCTCAAATAGCCCCACCCTATGGGGCTATTTGAGACGGGCTTTAACTAAAAAAATATCCTTAATCATTATTACTAGCTGAACCAAAATGCACCTATATGAAAGAACTTACGGAGAACTACATTTTTGCAATTTACATGCTATAAGAGATATGAACCGTCTTAAAGGGAGAGGCCAAAAACTGTAAAATCCGTTTCAAATAGCCCCACTTTACGGTATGTGCAATGCTACCTACATGCTACACAAATATTAGCCACTGTATTGTACCTTCTTTATACTCTTTCAAACGAATGTATTAATAAACGAATGTATTAATTAACTGACGCATGTATAAGCGTAGGTTATACACACTAGTGCATGCATTGTGCACAATTTTCAATTACTGTCCAACAGTGCCGATCGACCCTGGCTTTGTCAGTGTCGTCTGTGTCAGGGTTTGACACCACAGTGTCAGCCGCCTCCCGACCCGGCAGCAGCTCCGTCCGACTGCAGTCAGCTGACACAGCTCTGTCCGACAGGGCCGGAGGTGACGGAGCCGAGGTGGCCGGGACAGTACGGGAGTGGTCTGTCGGTATCTCTCCAGGGGGTGGCTGCCGACACCATCAGTCACCTGGCCACGGAGCTGGGGTCACGGATTACCCTACTAGTCACGGATGGTGAGCAGCGGTTGAAGTTACTCATATATGAATGGCTAGGAAGGGATAAACAACAGTAGCTGTTCCGGCGCTCAGCATTCGCTGGCTGTGACGTCACGGCCACCCCGGCGGGCGGCGGCCCGGCTGACCTCCATTGACCTTGAGACGCGCCGCCGGCCGCGTCAGCTGATTGTCGGCGGTGCGCGGCGACCCCAAACGCTGCCGGACTGGTCAGGTGCAGGTGGCGCTGCCGGGCGCTCCTGAACGGGGCAGGGGCCAGGGGCGACACGGGGACACGAAGAACAGGAAAACTGGCCGGCGGCAACGCTCCTTGCTTGTTATTTTTGCTCTAAGGAACTGCTTTTTTTCGAGCAAATGTTCATAAATAACGTGGAGAAGCAGTTTATCCCTGAAAATCTGAAGCCTAAATCAAACCAAGAATAACTGGATACAACACATATTACATGTATTGCAGGTAATGCTGCCTCATCCTAAGGTAAGACGGAAGCCATAAGCCATGGCAAGCTGTAGGATGACAAGTCGTGTGCCGTGTGGTGAATGGTGATGGTCAATGATTTGGGCCTCTATTGGACGTAATATTTACGCTACAAATTTTATAACGATACAAAATTGTTATAATTAGCTACACATAAGTGCTGAACAAAATACTTATGTGAAAAGGTTTCAAAAACTGTCATATTGATCAATTGACATCATGAAAATATGCGTAGTTCGGAATATAATGCACTAATTAGTGGTGATTTTGTTTTATATGTCAAAGACCCATTTTCATTGTATTTGTTGAATATTATGTTACGGAAAGTCGCCGTAACTTATGAAATTCACATCGTTTTGATAAAGTACATACATATTTACTCAGACACGGAATTATCACAGCATTGTAGCCACAAACAGTTTTCACTTTGTGTTTTCTACACCTGTAGGTAAGTGTACAGCCCTCTGCAGACTGCGTGGTAGGTATTCTTTTTTCGACAAAACCGATAATAACTCAAAGGTTATGCTATCAGTCGGTCGGAACTCACTGCAAATAGATGTGCCATGCTCCACTCCTTCGATTAGGTTTATCAATAAACAAAGTTTACGCCTTGTGTGGCGACAAAATGCAAAAGTTTGTTTTGGGGGCAAATATAAACTTTTGGGTTTAATTGCCTAACTAGATGAAAAATGGATACGGTGATGATGCCGATCTAAGGGGCGAAGTCTAGCGCGTCTTGCTGTTACGATTTCCGAATGACCGATAGCATAGTATTCGCGTTATTCTCATTTTTGTCGAAAAAAGAATACCTACCACGCAGTTTGCAGAGGGCTGTACAATGTTTGACCATAGACAAATGCCTGACATTGGTTCAATCACCTTTCCAGCACAAGTTACTACTATTCCAAGTCAACTTCGTGGTGCCATCATCAGGGTGGGCCCAAACACTATCATCCTTCCGGCCGGAGTCGGTGACAGCGAGCTGACGGAGCTGCAGATCTCACGGGAGACTGTGGAGCGGCTGTCAGTCACCGCCACCGACCTCCCGCGACTGAGTTGGCAGCTGCCGAAGTGTCTCAGGTGCCTCAATGTCAGAGGTGAGATACCACGGATCATACATGTAATGCCGGTATAATGGACAATGCATATGGATATACAAATGAACAGGGAGACAGACGGCAAATGGACGAACCGTTCGAATTCAGCCAACATCTTACAGCCTTGTTTGTGTTATATGGTATTGTTAGAGTGATGCAATGCATGCATTTGCATATAGTGTGAGCATCAAGTGCATGCATGAAATATTATTGTAGCAATTATGGTAATTTGAAATGGTTTCATTGCAACCACTGCGAACCATATATTTATGTAGTCTACCAACTTGATCCGTTACTATACCATGACTGGCTGCCCAGTGCCTAAGCCAATGTGCCTTGCAAAAATCGTAATACTTATGTTGCTCATATTTTCATATTTACGTATGTATGCTGTTGCTAAAAATATCGTTGTGCAGCGGGGAGTGTTAGTGCTGGCTGTGTCAGTGTCTGACACTCTGGTGTCAGTGGTGCAGCGGGGAGCTGGCGGCAGCTCTGTCCGACTGCAGTCAGCTGACACAGCTCTGTCCGACAGGGCCGGAGGTGACGGAGCCGAGGTGGCCGGAGGTGACGGAGCCGAGGTGGCCGGGACGGTTCCCGTGGGGCGGGCTGTCAGTGTCGCTCCAGGGGGTGGCTGCCGACACCATCAGTCACCTGGCTGACCTGGGACGGAAGGTCACACTACTGGAGATATACGGTGAGCAGCGGCAGCACGGACAGGCCGCTGATATACGAGTTCAGGGAATAGCGGACATCGAGTAACGGTGTGCCGGTGTCGCACCTCATGGAGACAGGTGTGATACATAGCCAATGTGCTTTGCGAAATAATGAAGCCAATTGAGCTCCAAAATGGAGGACTGTTCACTCAGTGACATATTCGTTCAGAGTTAGTTGATCATACTCATAACAATTGTGTTGCACTGTTCAATGAAGTTCAATGCATTTGCTTAACATTGCATATAGGTATCATATAATAGCACTGTCTTACCACTGTCTACTGTGTCCATAAAACCATGAGAATTATTAGGTGTTTTTTTTTTCGTTTTGTCATATATCGACATATATTACAGCTAACTGTATCTGTCTGTATGTGTGTCTGTGTGTTTTCCAGACTGTCCTGATCTCACGGCCGGCAGCCTGGAGCCCCTCACCAGGTGCCCCGAGCTGCGATGCCTATCAGTCACCGCCGCCGACCTCCCGCGACTGAGGGGGCAGCTGCCCGAGCGCCTCTGGCGCCTCAATGTCAGAGGTGATATACCGCAGATCACACATGTAATGCCGGTATATGCAAATGAACAGGGGAGACGGCAAATAGTCGAACTGATCAGCCTCAACTAGCAAGTTTCATCGTTAATCGTGTATATTACTCGTCTCGTATTGTGGTGAGAGGGGGAAGGGGTTCAATGGATGCCCTTCGATAGTGTCCATGCTTGTGGCATATGCGTGGAATATTAGTGTAACGTCACGGGGTGATTTAAAAGTTGAGGTACTAGCGATAGTTGCATTGTCACAAGCAGCAAATTTCCGAACAAACGTATTGAGTATTAGTGCGAATTCGGCATCCGAAAATCAGGGATAATTTTCCGGGATCAACGGGATCATTCGGTGTTTTAGGCTGACACCGTGCACAACGCACATGCCAATGAGTAAAAGAGCCATTACTGAAGCAAAAGCAATATAAAAATATGACTTATTGCATCGATAGTCCCTGCAATACCAAATTATTACCGGTGATCCCGGATAATTATCCCTCATTTTCCGGATGTCGAACGCACGCCTGATCGACAACTGACACTGACTGACTACATAGATAGCTCGCTGACGACGTGTCTGAGCAGACTGACGAGACTGACTGGCCGCGGCCCTGGCGCGGCGGTTATACAGAGTATAGGTGGCGCCACGATCGAAGGCGGCCAGCACGGGAATGCAGGCATTGTTACGATTAGAGAGCAAGTATTTCAATGGGGAATGATTATTAGATATAGTGCAACCAATGAGAGTAGCATAAGACGTTTCATAGACTACTGTATTACGCATATACTTTTCGCATATACGTATTATGTTCATATTCACATTCTACATATGACTGCTGCTGCTAAAAAATTGCTGTGCGGCCGCTCGTCTGTTTCAATGCTGACTGTGTCAGTGTCTGACACTCTGGTGTCAGTGGTGCAGCGGGGAGCTGGCGGCAGCTCTGTCCGACTGCAGTCAGCTGACACAGCTCTGTCCGACAGGGCCGGAGGTGACGGAGCCGAGGTGGCCGGAATTAAACCCGTTGGTTCGTGGTCTGTCAGTGTCGCTCCAGGGGGTGGCTGCTGCCGACACAATCAGTCACCTGGCTGACCTGGGACGGATGGTCGGACGACTGGAGATATACGGTGAGCAGCGGCAGCACGGACAGGCCGCTGATATACGAGCTAAGCGAATGGCGGACACCGAGTAACGGTGTGCCGTTGTCGCACCTCATGGAGACAGGTGCGATACATAACCAATCTGCCTTGTGAAACAATGAAGCTACACTGAAAAAAAATCGGGGAACCCCATTTCCTACAATCTGACACCACATACTCCAAAATACTCCTAAATTAGGCTCCGTTTTCATGATTTTAGGATGTCATGGGTGTTGTGACACCCGACACGGGAGCCCCATTACCTTTTGACGCCGCAAAAATGTACATGACCCCCTTGGGAGAGGTTCGGCTAGCGAACTCCCCAAAAATTGCAGGCCAAAAATTGGAGTGTCGCTGAGACACCCCCGTTGAAACCCCTCTGGGGTGTCATTATCCTGGAGTGACACCCCGTGTTTTCAGCTTCAAATCCTACCGATAGATGGCGCAAACTAAAGTTGGTAAAATCGGGACCTGTTTTTCACGAATGGCTGGTGCATGTTTGGAGCTAAGGCAAAAGCGTGCATAGCGTAGAGTGGCCAACTATATCATGATGATATCGATTGATTGATTGATTGTTGAGTAGGTGCTTCGGTCCGCGTGGACCATTTCGCACCATAATAAGTTACCTATTTAAGATGGGAACGTGAAGATAGTTATTTCTAGAGGCTGTCGAGGAGGTCTATTGTGGAGAGAAAAGAGAAAAGAAGCTTGAGCAAAGCGGAATGTTCGTCTCCTAAAATAACAGACATTGTCATTGGCACGCCTTGTGCCCGACAGTAGTCTTCCATTGGTTTCCTTTTTCTAGCGTGATTTAAACAGTGTAAGACAATGTGTTCGATGGTGAGTGTTGTCCTGCATCGTAAACATACAGGTCTTGGTTGTCGAGAAAAAATGAATGCATGAGTGAGATATGTATGACCTATGCGCAACCTTGTCAAGACCTTTTCTTCTCTTCGGGACGGACGAGTTGATGATTCCCAGTGAGCTATAAGTGGTTTAATGCGATGAAGGTGTGTACCTGGACCATCCGTGTCCCAGATGCGCTGCCAAAGTTGATGACAATGACGTTTTATTGAAGACTGAATACTACTAATATCAATGGAAGTTTCAGTTACGATAGGGAGATCCAGAGATTGCTTAGCATATCTATCTGCTTCCTCATTTCCGTGGATACCACAGTGGCCTGGTACCCATAAGAAATGTAGTTGTACCCCTTTTTTCCTTAATGCTTCATGAAGGTTTAGAATGTTGATTTTGATGTGCTGGGTCAATTCTGGATTTTTCAAGTATTGAATGACAGATTTTGAATCGGTGCAAATGCATGCATGCTGAATACTGTTTTGCTCAATGAGTTTAAGTGCATGCAAAACCGCATGCATTTCCGCCGCGAATACTGATGACTCATCAGGTAGCCTCAGCTTTGCATGTGGGAGGCCTGGAGAATAAATGCCAAAGCCTACCTTATTGTTTTGTTTCGATCCATCCGTATACAGAAAATGGAAGCGAGTGTGTGCTGCTCGGAATTTCATAAACGTTTGCTGTATTTCAGTCGGAGAGTATGAGTCCTTTTTCTCGGTGATCAAAAACGAAATAACTAATGGTTGCATCATCCATGGCGCCACTCCCAAGGGCGGTAGTGGAGTAACTTCAGGTAAGTTATATTCTATATCTTGCTGGTATTTTGTAACTCTGGAAGCGATTGTGAGGCCAGTTCTTCGTTCACATCTCCCAATGTAGCTAAAGTGTAACCGAGGAAGAATCGATATTGCTTGGTAAGCTGCGTGAGATGGGAACTGTTTTATTTTTGTATAGTATCGTAAGTTCAAGTTTATTCGTCTAATATGCAGGGGAGGTATATTCGCCTCCACCTGTAGGGACAGTATTGGCGATGTCCTCATGGCACCCAAAGCTAGACGAATAAAGTTGTTTTGTATGACCTCTAGCTTCTGTAAGGAGCAACGGCTTCCTCCAGAATACATAACTGATCCATATTCTATTACTGGTAATACTATGCTTCGGTATAAACGGAGTAAAGTTGAACGATCAGCACCAGCTGGAGTACTTGTGAGGCATCGGAAAAGGTTCAGTCTTCTTTTGCATTTTGTTTGTACATGTTTGATGTGCCTATTCATTGTTAACTGGGAGTCCAAAACGACCCCCAGAAACTTGAAACTTGAAACCCGTGGAATATCGGAACCATGTAATTCTGGAAGCTTCAAGGGTGAAATCCTGGTGTTTCTGGAAAAAATCATAAGTGCCGATTTCGCTGCCGAAAATTCTAAGCCGTATGTTTCTGACCACCTTTCTACTTTATGGAGAGCGAATTGCAAGCGTTGAATACCATAATCATAATCAGAGTCGGTACACCAAAGTGCGCTGTCATCCGCAAACAAAGAGAAGGAAATGCCGTCTGGGATGTTGCTGAACAAATCATTAATCATAATATTGAATAGAATTGGAGAGAGGCAGCTACCCTGAGGAAGGCCATTCTGTGTCTCGTGAACATTTGAAAAAATAGAGCGAATCTTCAAGCGGAAACGTCTGGTTCCAGACAGAAAGTTGTAGAGATAGAATGCCATATGTCCTCTGATGCCAAGTTGTGCTATTTTGTGTATTAATGCAGGCTTATGGACCATATCAAAAGCGTTTTTGATGTCCAAAAAAATTGCTAAAGTGTGATGTTTCTTTTTGTATCCTTTCCTTATGTCACTTTCAAGGCGAACTATGTGGTCAATCGCAGAATGATTGTTTCGGAAACCACATTGAAACTTGGAAAGCATATCCTGTTGTTGACTTATAAATGAAAGACGTGATGCAACCATCCTTTCAAGCAGTTTTCCTAAACAACTTGACATTGCGATAGGTCGATAACTTTTCGGGTCGTATCGGGCTTTACCAGGTTTCAATAATGCTACTACTATGCTTTCTTTCCAATCTTCAGGAAAAAGATGTCCGCTGAAGAGCTCGTTGAATGTTTGTAGAATTAAGTGCTTGGAGTGATCTGAAATATGGCGAAAGAAGGAATAATGCAGTTTGTCTGGTCCTGTTGATGTGTTACCAGAAGAGTTTATGGCCTTGTTAAATTCTTGCATCGTGAAAGGAACGTTGTAGTCTTCACTGTTATCAGAGAGAAAAACATTGTGATCGAAAACAAATTGCTGACGGGCAGTGTCGATAAACCCGGGACGATATCTTGCGTTTGAGCTTGTGTGGGAGATTGTCTCAGCCAGACAGTTCGCGACGTCGTTCGGCTCGCTCACTGTTTCCCCAGTTCCTGGGAGCTTCAGAATAGGGAAGGTTGCGCTCACACGTTTCCCTGACAACCGTCGAACTAAATCCCAAATCTTAGAAAGTGGTGTTGAAGAAGTGAAAGATGATAAGAAATGTTGCCAGGATTGACGCCTAGCCGTTCTTATAGTACGTTGTGCATTTGCACGTTCTCTATTTCGGATGATTAATGCGTCATCTGTACGGTGTCGTAAATATGCTCGAAAAGCTCGCTTTCTCTTTGCCACAGCTTGTCGGACAGCAGGAGTCCACCATGGTACCGGGTTGGCTTTCCGGCATGGCTTGGTTAATGGGATACAGCGGTTTGCCACTGAGATAATTGTTTCAGTAATGTAAGAAATATTGTCTACTGGATGATCTAGGTGTTCATTGAGCTCAAGTTCACACAACTCAGTAAACTTGACCCAATCCGCCTTATTTAGATTCCACCTAGGTGAAAAAGAAGAGACCCCGGCGACTGGAAAATTAAAACGAAGAGAAATCGGATAATGGTCGCTGTCATGGATGTCGCCGTCTGCGGACCACTGGAACCAAGTGGCTAAGCATGGAGAAGAAATAGATAAGTCGATGGAAGACTCAGTGTTATGTGACAAATTGAAATGTGTGGGCTGGTTAAGATTAAGTGTCACCAGCCTATGAATGTCAAGAAAGTCTTCGATTATTTTGCCTCTACCATCCAACAGTTGTTCATCCCACCAAGCTGGACTGTGGGCGTTAAAGTCACCGAGAAGAAGAAATGGATGTTCGAATTGCTGAACAAGATGGTTGAGCTGCCGAAGGAGTTCGGAGTTATCGAAATCCGGAGGAATGTAAATACTGCATACGTCTACGTCCCTGCCATTCATATACATCGTACATGCGACGGCTTGTAATTCTGTTTGGATATCAAGTAAACTATGTGTGTAATCATTTTGTATGTAAAGCGCCACACCACCGTGTCGGCGCTCTCCGTAGAGCTCATCGTGTCTGTATAATGTGTAATTAGAAAGTTGAAAATTATACTGGTCGGTTGGTAAAAACCAAGTTTCTTGGAGAGCAATCAGTACCGGAGTAAGTACCGAGAAGAAGTTTTTTATTTCGGCCCACTTAGAAAGCAGGCCACGACAATTCCATTGCAGCATGGTGTGCGGATTCATGATTGTGGACGCGAAGATCTTCCACGGCTGGGCGAGGCCCAGCTCGACGCGCGGTTACGCCCCATCGCCACCCGAATCGGTGGTCGTGGCTGGCGATCTTTAGACTGTTCATCCATGTGATGGGAGGGTTTTGGGCGAGCGCCACTCGACCTCTGGACTTTTATCCAGCCAGTGGAGCGGCTTGCTCCAACAGACTTCGGCTTCTGCGCAATCTCGGGAGAGACAGCTGGCTGGGAGTCGGGAGGGGACGGCATCTGTTCATCAGGGACTTCAGACGTCTGAGTCGTGCTCGTGGTGGCGATCGGTTCGGGGCTCAGAGGCCGCAGCAGCTCCAGAGGAGGTAGCGCGGCGATCGGCTCAGTCTGTGTGCTGGAAGAGGTTGTCTGGGTGCTGGCAGCCTTAGCGTAAGACCTACCGGGTGTTGGTGTTGTGGTTTGGGCTTCCACGCGACGGCGGGCCTCGGGGTAAGAGATGTCAGCTTTGGCTTTGAGTTCACAGATGCTTTTTTCTTTTTTCCAGGTCGGGCACTGAGAGGATGAGACGGTGTGGTCTGGGCTTCCGCAGTTGAGGCACGAGACAGGGGAAGTGCAGGGAGAACCCTCGTGAGGAGCCTCACCACACTTGGGGCAGCGAGCAGTCTGCCGGCAGGAGGAGCTACCGTGTCCAAAGCGTTGGCATTTGTAGCAGCGAAGAGGGTTCGGGACGAAAACTCGGATATCCTTTTTCAGCCAGCCAATCACGATACTTTCCGGCAGAGTGGTGAAGTCGAAAGTAAGGACTAAGAGACTCGTGTCACGCCGTTGGCCATCACGGAACGTGGTCAGACGTCGGATGTGGGTCACCCCGTCCCCTCTAAGTTCGGCCAGGATCTCGTCTTCGGTCATATGGCGGAGTTCGGGAGCGAAAATAGTTCCTTTGCAAGAGTTCCGAGCGTGATGGAGCGAAACGGTGACCTTCTTGCCGCAGAAAGTTGTAGTCTTCAGGAGTGCCTTGGTGTGTTTGCGTGAGTTCGTTTTAATGATCAGAGTACCGTTCGCCGGTGCCTCGATGTCTACATCGCATGGACCGCATATGGCGTCTACCTGTTTTTGTGGCCAGAACACGTTGATCTTCCGGAAGGAAACTTCACTATCGCAAGGCTTAACGACCAGGTAAGAACCGTTCGAAGCTAAGTAAGGCTCGTCAGAAGAGCGATCAGCGGTGGCACAGGCAGGTGAGTAATCAAAGTTCGTGCGCGGGTCAGAGCTCCGGGAGTGGTCGTTGGACGGGCGAGGGTCAGAGATCCGGGCGTGGTCGGCAGACAAGCGAGGGTCGGAGTCTAGGGCGGGGTCAGAGGTCGAGCAAAGGTCAGAGGTCCGGGCGTGGTCGGAGGACGAGCGAGGGTCAGTACCGGGTAGGGCAGCCGAGGGGTGGGTGGAGGAGGGAGGGGTAACGGTTGGGCGGGAGTCGGTTTCCATGGAGGCAGGAGCAGGGTCAGGAGAGGGATTCGAGACGGGAGGAGAGTCGGTGTCAGAGTCGGAGCAGGAATCAGAAAGCGGGCGCTGACGGCGCCGCTTCCCCATGATGGGGCAAACGGAAGTTGGGTGTAGGCAGTGAAGGGTCAAGGATGAGAACAGTTGGTATCAACGGGGAAGATAGGACGCGAGGAGAGAGCTCAAACAGTACCCGTGAAATGCCAGCAAAGAGCTAACGATCACCTTAGCCTGTGATGATGATATCTAGACTGATTACCGTGTCATACGTTGGTCGTGCACACTACAGGGCGCCGCAAGGCCGCGAACGGAAAGAGTAACTCCTCACCCGGTTATAAATATAGTCTGAGATTCTCGTTCCGAAGGAGGCACCTGTCCGTGCTTCTATCCTCAGGATACTGAATTCCTTCTCCTCCACGCCACAACCCCCTTCCGGGCTGGGCAGGCAACTTTATCTCATGCGGGCTGCTCCCTTGGAGCGGCACAGCTGCTCCCGAGGGAGCGCACCCCGTAGCCGGGTGCAGTGAGTGCCTTGGGGCTGGGTGGCCTGTTTTCGGACGGGCTCAGCCCCGGCGACTCACTAGGGTGCCTGCCCAGACCAATGTCTCCCCCTAATTCCTATCATCCTTCCGGCTCTGCAATGGTCTTGTCGACCGAAAGGGCCTA